GCGCCGGGGGGGGGTTTAAGTCGCCGGGTCCGGGACGCGAACCGCAGTCAACTGCATGGGAGTCGAGCAACATAGCCATGACGCCAACTGCTGGCCCCCAAAACCCACCTCTTGACTTGCTTCTTATTGATGCTTCCTGTTCCTTTCCTGCTTTTGTTTCAGCCTTCTCCCCCCCCCCCCACCACTATCTTGATTGAGGTTAAGCTTGGAGAATTCCCTTATATTGTACACATGGGCAGTGAAGTTAAAAATCTGTCTTCTCCAGGGTTTAGTGTCTTAAGTTGGAAGAACTCTTTTTTAAAATTTTTTGAGAGGTTTTTGCTATAGGGTGTGTGTGCTCACCCGAAAGACAGAGAGAGACAGACAGGAACAGAGAGACAGAAAGTAAGAAATCACCCTCCAGGGGGTATGGCCATGCTGTATCCCTTCTCCATTCTCCTCTCGGGATCTTGGGCATGCACGCACACGCACCCAGCATGAGTTTAAGCCACCCGGTCCAGGACTCAAACGGTGGTCAACCACATGGCAGTCCAGCGACATAGCCATTACGCCAACTGCTGGTCCCTGGAAAAAATTTTTTTTCACAGCAGACAGTTGGGTCTTACTTTTTTCATTCAATCTGGTAATCTATTTTTTAGTTAACGTTTTTAGATCATATACATTTAACATAATTATTAATATGGTTACGTTTAAATCTACGGCCTTACTATTTATCTTCTATTAGGGTCAAAAAGCTCCTGGAAAAGTGGAATTAAATTATGAGTTTATTTTGGATAGATTAAAAAAATTTTGAAGTCCAGGTAGCTTTTTCTTTTTTTTAAAATATATTTTATTTATTTATTTTTATTTGTTATTAATGTTATAATTTTACCAGAGAAAGACAGAGAGATAGAGACAGGGAAAAAAAAAGCAATCCGCCAGGTCCAAGATTCAAACTGCAGTTGACTATGTGGGACTATGTCTAGCACCTTAATCACCACACCACCTGCCAGCCCCAGGGCAGCTTTTTCAAAATACACATTTTTTTCCATGAATATTTCAAAGATCTTTAATGTTTCTCCTATGTCTCTCTTTTTTCTTTTTAAACCTTTTGGGGATTGGGTTTTTAAAATGTTTTACCATTCTGTATGTTATCTCCTTTATTGGCTTATGAACTATAACTTCTATTTTGCTATTTTAATAGAGTCTATTACACATCTCTAATGTGTCACAGTCCACGTTCAAGGTGTAAATTACTACTTCACGTTCAGCGTACAGGCCCCACAGTAGTATACTTCTATTTCTCCCTTTGAGCTATAGGAATAATTATTCTACTGGGAATACAACTAATATATTAATGGGCAGGGCAAACTAAAGTACAAATAAATAATATGAAAATTATATAAATTAAAATTTTAACAATTAATTTTATCATCTATATTTTATTACATGTTTAATTATATTTGTTATCAGGTCTACTATCTAATGTCTAGGTTAAAAGACAAAGACATCTTCAAAAGGAGAAATTACACAGTTAAAATCATTTTGATTAAAATTTGTCTGTTTGCATCACTTCCACCAAATGAAAATCATGGCTTCAAGTCATTATTTTTCTACAGTTATGTTTCCTTGCCTGGCCAGTAGTTGGGTTATAGCCAATAATCACTTGCAGTCCAGTTTTCCTTTCTGAATCTTGTAGATACAATTGTTCTTTTTCTCATAAATTAGTCCAGTCTCTCTGGAAAACAACATGGAGATTTCTTTAAAAACCTACAAATAGAACTTCTGTAACATGAAATATCTCTGATCCTGTGTAGGACCAGGAGGTTAATCCTGCTTATTTCAGGAGGTTCCTCACCCAGAATTGGGCAATTCTTTGTACGTGCATTTTTTTTTTTTTTGGGAGTTTTATTTATTTGGAAGTGAATTTTTAAGTACCAATACAAATGCCAAGATACTACACAAAACATCCACAGGAACTTTTCATCCTTTTTGATCTGTACAAACATTTCCTACATAATCCCACAAACAACAGAAATGGTACGTCTTTTTCTTTCGATTTGCATACAATG